TTAGTAAAAAATTTTTAGATTTGATGCATCTCCATTTGCATCCGTGCAGCTTTGTAAAGAATCAGTAAGTCATTTAATGAATTATGGATTTTGAATGTAGAGATTTTAAGCTTTAAAATGCTTGTTTGATCATTCCAATACGATAATTTTTGACAAAGTTACACTTTCTTGAAATTTGCCTATTTTTAGTGATCAGAATGGGTGATGCTTTAATTTTGCTGTCGAGTGTATATATAAAATTAATTATAACTACCGATGTATCTCTAATGCACTAATAAAGTCTATTAAGACAAAAATCAATTGAAATTTTTGTCACAGTATTATTGTATATTGGAGACACATATATCGGTGGCGATAATTTCCATTCCTTATTTTACTGTTGCCTATTGCCTGGTATTGTGCAAGGACTTAAGTAAACAAGAGGTGAGTATAAATAATTAAGTCTTGAGTTCCATCCTCGAATGTATACGAAGCGTAGGAATGTCCCACATGCATTTTTTACAGTTTTTTAGAAGTACAAAGTTTCAATGAAGTGTGCGAGAAGTGTATTGGAATGCTCCATGCACTTTTTGCGGGGCATTTTGGAAGCGTAGACGAAGTTTCAACTAATAAGTGTGAGAGAAGTATATTAGAATGCTTTATGCACTTTTCGCGGGGTGTTTTGGAAGCGTAGACGAAGTTTTAAATAATAAGTGTGAGAGAAGTATATGGGAATGCTCCATGCACTTTTTGTGGGGTGTTTTGGAAGCGTAGACGAAGTTTCAACTAATAAGTGTGAAAGAAGTGTATTGAAATGCTCCATGCACTTTTTGCGGAGCATTTTGGTAATGGAAACGAAGTTTCTATAAATAAAGCTTTTGGAAAGCTTCGAAGAGCTTTGTACACACTTTATCAAGTGTTTGGGAAACGTTAATAAAAATAAATTGTTGGAAACGTGTAGGAAACATATCAGAAATGTTTCATACATGCTTTACGAAGCGTTTAGAAAGCGTGTATGGATAATTAAAATTGCGAAGCGTTAATGGATAGTCAATGAAGTGTTTAAGAAGCGTAAACTTTTTTCATTTACACTTTTTTAACCCTTTAAAGCACACATTTTTCTTTACATGGAAAACAGTTGAAATTTATTACTCGGGGGTTTTCGGGGTCGCTGATTACGTATATAACCTCAGATTTCCAAAATTCGAAATGGCGGATTCAAGAGCGGACCTAATTAGGAAAAAGTTGCTTGATCGAAATAAAACGCATAAAAATTGAAAATTGATTGCATACTCAGCGACCCAAAATATCCCTGAGTTAATATTTTCAGATCAAAGTATATTATTTTTAAAATGTTTCATCGGCCATTTTGAATCCGCCATTTTGAAAATCTGACTCCGGATTCGTTATTAGCAACCATAAAAACCCGTTAGTAAAAATTGCCATGAAAATCGAACCTCAAATAAACTGGAAAAC